CAGTGCCTATTCTGTTCTGGTACCATCCACCCTGGAACCAAACCAGCCTTTTCTGAGGCAGCGCTCAATGGGTACCACTTAGCTAATGACTCTACTGTGAGCCTCTGGGAAGTGAGCTGATGCCAACAGTACATGTCAGGCTCGGCCAGGGTAAGCCAGGTGCCACCCAAGCCATTAACTGACAGCCTGGGTGAGCCCTCTGCAGGCCAGAGTGAGCCCTCTGCTGAAGTCACGCTGATGTTGAGCTTTCCAAAGGAATTTTCCTCTCTACTGAAGCTGAAGGAGGAGGATCTCCTCCAGAGTGCTCTCCCAGGTGGGCTGGCTCTCAGTGGTCCAGGATGCCACAAAGGACTCCAAGTTACTCACTTCCAAGCCCCAGAGGCCTGAAGTTCATGTCCCTTTCATACTGAGCCCAGCAAGGGCCACTCTTCCACTTCTGCCATGTTGGCACATGGGAGTTGACTACCCCACTTCCTGGATGGGAAACCACTCTCTGGATTCTAAGAAGTCATCCATCTAGATCATGAAGCACACAGAACAAGGAATCTTGTCCCCATGTTGCACAGCTTCCAGAAATAAATAGGAAGTGGGAAGGACTGGGTTAGGGGAGTCTCAGGTGTGAGCAGACATCAGCCTCTGCTTCCTCCTTCTCTCCTTCTCCACACGAGGACCTGTTCTGTTCTCTCGCCTGTGCCCACTCTTTTCTGTTTCCTGTCTGCCTGATGTGAAGTGATCCAAGTGGTTACGGGTCTGCATGGAACAGATGTGCAGAAGGACACCAGGCCTGGCAAGGGTTTGCCTGCTGACCAGGTGTGGTGCTGATAGCTCTCAGCACTGGGCCCTGTGGGCAGTGTTTCCATCTGGACCCTGCGGTGAGATCTGACTCAGATTGGCTCTCTATGGCATGGCTGGACTGGGATCCAGAGGCCCTGCACATGGGGGAGGTGGCAGCGGATGCATCAGGGTCCCAGCTAAGTGGGTCCTTTAGCCTTGTTCCCTGGGCTCCCTGCCTGCTCTCCACAGGGAGCCCACGCCTATTTGAGCTGTGTTGTGGCAGCCCCATGGGCAACTTGCCCAGAAAAGAAAACATACCCTTGCTTTTAAGCTAAGACACATTTTTATGAACAAAAGAAAACGAAACATCCTCTTGGCAAGTGGGAACCCTATTTGTGTGAGACAATCTTTTTCCTTTTGAGTTTTTCCCACAGTTTACTTAAAGGACACCCACAAATAGGAGGTCTCCATTGTATTAAATTATTTCACCAATATTTCTTCACCCAGTGCTTGTGGGCTGAGAAGCTACAAGAGAATGAAAGGAGTCCAGACCACAGCCTCTAGAAGCAAAATATCCAACAGAAGGGCTGTAAAGGCTAGCTCTGCAGACAGAATGGACAGGACCCAGGAACCGAAGATAGCATTGCCTGGAGGGAGAAGCTAGGAGAGGGAAGAAGGGAGGCTACCCTGAGTTATGTTGGTCAGGGAAGACAGCAGAGGACCTGGGCAGAGGGGAACAGGAGAGCAGAGGGAAGGCCTGTCTTCTTGTTGGTCTCGGCTTCTTCTCCTTGGTTAGCACAGGCCCTGAATGGCAAAAGTGTCAATGAGAGCTCATTTTCTGCAACAGATGCTTCAGCATTTTCTTTCCCAGCATATAAATGGCCTTAGAATCAATTTTTTCTTTGAAAAAACCTTAGAACAGTTCCAAGACCTGTAGTTATGAGGCAGCTGAGCAATAGTAAAAACACTTAGATCTCCTGCTCCTGGCTGTTTTGTGTGCCATTGGAGTGCCAGAGGATCACCAGGCAGCACAAAGACCTGGCCGTGAGCATTCCCTGCATGGGACCAATGCCATAGGGCCATTAGGCTCAGCTAGGGGGCCTGAGGTGCATGGTCTTGACCTGTGCTGCTTCTCAGAGCTGGCTCTGTGGGGCACTTGCCTGCTGGCCAGGAAGCAAGAGCTTTGTACCAAGAGTCCAGCATACCCTAGGTAATAAGTCTTGGAAACCTGGAGAAAGTCTAAGGCATCAGAATTATGCATGGGCTTTGGCTCTTGTTAGGCAGAGCTATTATGAACTCCCAAGAAATAAAGATGACTTTGAAGGGAAAAAATTGTAGTTACATCTTTAAATGTTTGTCCTTTAAAGAAAAATGCATGCCCTGCTGAGCAGTTCAGCCAGTTTGCTCACAGCTTGGACTACAAATTCTGGTTAGGACGAGGAGCAACCACTGAGTGCGCAGTGCCCCAGAGCACACCTGGAGCTCTCCTGCCAGTGTCTGTGCAGGGCCAGGGTGAGCTGTCTGCAGATGTGCTTGTCATGGACTTCTGTAACCAGCAGAAGCAGCAGCCTGGAGTGGCTTCTGCCACCGCAGAACTCCACATTCGAGCCTGTATAGCTCCCAGGATCCTTTCACATGGCATGATTCTGGCTACTCATTCCTCTACAAAAGCATCCACAGAAAAAGAGGAAATTTACCAAAAAGTACTGTCCTCAGTTGTGCTTTTTCTGCTTCCAAATATCACATCAGCACAGGAAGCCATCCTCTGAGTCGCTCTCTCTGTCCTCCCGCATGATGAACAAGCTTATTCTAAGGAACCCCCACTATCCCATCTAGAATCACCTTTCACCATTGGTCCAGCCAAGACCCCAACACTGCCCTAGTGTTTGCTGCTGTGGGGCTCCCTGGTGCTTTTCCTGTACTTAGATGGGAGTAGGGACCCACTACCTACCTAATACCACATCTACAATCCTGGAGCCAGTATACCAAGGCCAGTCTCTTCTCCTGTTGCAGAACCAGAGACTCCCACCCTTGCACTTCAGAGGATGCAGAAGTCCCAAAGGGCCAAGCCGAGGGTATTACCGTGTAGCACGCTAGCTAACCAGTCACCAGTTAATAGTTCAAAGCCAGCCTTAGCAACAGCGAGTCGCAAGGCAACTCAGTGAGACCCTGTCTCTAAATGAAATAGGGCTGGGGATATGGCTTAGTGGTCTAGTGCCACTGAGTTCAATCCCTGGTACCCTCCCCCTGCAAAACAACAACAAAAAACAAACAAACAAACAAACAAAAAAACATGTTTAACCTGGTATGTTGCTGCACACCACTAATTCCAGTGACTCCAGAGGCTGAGGCAGAGGATTGCAAGTTCAAGACTAACCTCAGTAACTTAGTGAGTCCCTGTCTCAAAGTTAAGATAAAAAGGGCTGGGGATGTGTCTCCATAGTAGAGCACCCTAGTTTCAATTCCTGGTACCAAAAGAAAAGGAGAAGGAGGAGGAAGAGAGGAGGATGAGGAAGAGAGGAGGAGGAGAAGGAAGAGAGGAGGAGGAAGAGGAAAAAAGGAGGAGGAGGAGGAAGAGAGGAGGAGGAGAAGGAAGAGAGGAGGAGGAGGAGGAGGGAAAAAGGAGGAGGAGAAGGAAGAGAGGAGGAGGAGAGGAGGAGGAGGAGGAGAAAAGGAGGAGGAGGAACAGAGGAGGAGGAGAAGAGGAGGAGGAGGAGGAGAAGAAGAGGAGGAGAGGAAGAAGGAAAAGAAAGGCTCACATCTGAATTTCTTTACCAGTGCTTACCTCTCCTCTGATGTACTTTTAAGTAGCCCAGTAGTCCTCTGACCAACATTTTCCATGGACTGTCCAGTGCTGAGGGTGGTGCCAAGGTGCTCTACGGATCTCCCCTGGTGGTGAACACATTTTCCTGATTCAGGGGAAAAGAATAAAGGAGGATCTTGTACATAAGAGGCAGCCTGAGGGGACAGTCTAGATGCTGCTATGTCTCTTGGGCTCGTAGGTCGTAGGTGTTGGGAACCTCAGTGTCCCATATTGTACTTGGAAATAGCCCTGGCCTGGAGATTCTGAGACCTGTGTCCTAAGTCTTATTGGTATGTTTTCTTTTGCTTTTAAGCTCATGATCTATTACAAAAAGGGATTTTGTTCCATATACAGTTAAATAAGATCTTAAAAAATCCTATTTATAATGTTCAACCAACATTTTGAAGCAAAGAAAAATTTCTTAGTAGACTTCATTCTACTCCAATGTGTTTTTAGTGGAGAAAAATCATCTTCAGATTTAGGATTCCTGTTACCCAGACGTGCAAGGATTCACTGAACCTGATACCGCAGGAGTCATGGATTACAGGGCACTGTGCCCACCTGACACTGACCTCAGGCTTATTGCTTGATGAATGCAGTGAGAGCGATGTGTGTTGCTCCTGTAAACTCCAGGAAGTGCAGGGAGATGTGTCCAGAGGCCTTCCAATGGCCTCTGCCATGACTGGGGATAGGGGCATTGGGGCTTTGAGTGTCATGAGGACGTCTGACGAGAGGCCCTGCGCTCGGGCCCTGATTTCTCACTCTTCCTTGTTAGGCCAAAGATGTACATCTGGAGGGTCTGATGGGAAATTTAGTCTCCTAAAGCTTCTGCAGCCTTCCAGAAAGGCAGTTAACGGCTTGTTAGAAATGCTCATGTTGGAGGGGAGGGGGGATAGTAGACAATAGGACAGACAGCAGAATACATCAGACACTAGAAAGGCAATATGTCAATCAATGGAAGGGTAACTGATGTGATACAGCAATTTGTATACGGGGTAAAAGCGGGAGTTMATAATCCACTTGAATCAAACCGTGTAATATGATGTATTAAGAACTATGTAATGTTATGAACGACCAAWAAAAAAAAAAAAAAAAAAGAAATGCTCATGCAGTTCCTTTGCTGTTGTCTGGCTTCTTTGTGCCATCCTTGAACAGCACAGTAAAAATCTGTACTGCCCCTTCTGAGAGCCAACTGCCAAATAAGTAAGAAGAAAACCTGAACTGAGCAACAACCATCAGGACCTGCTCTCATCAACGCTTTTTTAATTCAATTCCTGCAACTTCTATGTGTGATAAAGACTCCACATTGGTTATGTTTTGGGTTCTATTCATCTTTATTTAGATAGAAAAACCTGGGTGTAGACACAGGTAGATGGGTGACAGAGACTCCGAAACCACAGTCTTCTGTGAGGTACAGCAGGAAGGCACCCAGGGATCAGGCTGCACCTAGGCGCATCCCTGAGGGCTCCGGAGTCAACAGCAGCAGTGCAGGGTGAGTTTCCCAGGGCCAGGACAGTGATAAGAAGGTCACAGGATGAGGTCCTCATGTTTCTCCTGACTCCTCTCACAAGGCTGCTCACATGGGCTGGGCTAGAGCCAGAGGTCCCAGCTCCTCTTGCCCAGGCAAGCGCTTTGCCCCCAGTACCCATAAGTAGCAAGGGCACCAAGGAAGTACAAAGAAACATTCTGAAAGGTAGAAAATGATGTCATCAGCCATCCACAGTTGCTGGGCAGTGGTGTGGCCTATTGTCTGGCAGGAATCCACCAATTCACTGTCTAAGGGTGCACTGTGATTCAAAAGGGTGGAGAACCTGGAAGGACAAAGGAGGAGAACCATGGACCAGATAGACAGCAACTGGGGACACACATCTTATCTCAGGAAGAAGCAGTAGAGTGAAGGGAAAAGAGCTTATCAAATATTTGGGAAACAGAGGTAAAGAGGAGGTAGTGGCTTCCTGCTCATTGTCTAGACTGTCTTCCCAAGCCACACGATAAAGTTAGCCTACCCATGGGTGCTTTGGTGATCTCTTATAAAGAGATGTGACTACTGGATATGTACATAACTACTCAGTGTCTTTCTTAGTTTCAATCTTGGTCACATCATTCTACTTCTGATTCAAACAAATCTTATTAGAACAGACATGTCCAGTTAAAGTCATATTTCATTCTGACATGGGTCAGATCTGGTCTAAATAGAGGACAGTGAGTCAGATGAGGTTAGTGAGCTTGCCATGGGTGGAGATGTGTAATTAGGCAGGAGGTTTCCACTCCAACAGGGAGTTGGCATTTTCCATATTTCTCTTGATGATTTTGTGAGGTTAACATGAGCAATTGGAAGGGAAATTGGAATGAGTACACTGAGGGTTTGTTTATTATTTATGAGATGGAAATGAATCTCCTGTGTAGCCACACGTAAGCTCTTCCCATCCTCTGCAGACAAAATTCCTGTAACAGGTGCTTTACACATTCCCAAAGTACCTTAAACTTTGTGAAAGCCAAGTTTCCTCTCCAGGAGTATAAGGTATCCTCCTAACCCGAGACTTCCCCCCATCACAGTTGCATAGCTCTGCAAGGAACCTGCAGGCCCCCAATGTGGGGAACAGCCTTGCAGGCTCTGTGGTGCTGGCCTGTGCTGCTGGACACTCAGTGGGAGGCTTTGCTCTGGGATGGCTTCTGCCTGGGCTCCCTGCCCCTTCCTAGTGCCAACGTGAGCTCTGTCTTATATGTGGATGTGCCCTGCAGGTGCAGACTCTCTTCTCCACCCTCACATCAACAGGAAGGGAAAGTCTGTTCATTTGTCCAGGCCGACTTCCAAGCCAATAGTCACCCTGTTATTGGAAACTATGAAGAGTGCCTCGTGGGGGTCATTGCAAGACTAAAATGAGAAAACACACACACAAGCTCTAGCCCAGCACATGAATGGAAGTTACTGTTACTCAAAAATTTGGCATGAATACATTTGTAGATAAACTTTTGTGCACACTTACGTTTTTGTTCAGATGTGTCTTGTCCATAGCCAAGTTGTGCCATTGGGGTAGGTTGCAGACAGGCCAGAGAAAATGCCCAGAGACAACATGGAAGACCTGTGATTTATTGAGGAAAGCTCACAAGAGATCAGTGACTGTTCAAGACTTCAACAGCAGCAGGTAGACCTCTGTTCCTCATAGTGCTCTGCCAATGGTGGCCAGCTGGAGGAGTGACCCATATCCTTCCACACCCATCCCTCTGACAGAGGGGTTTCACATGTCAGGTGCAGAAGCAGTGACATCAGAAGCTTGCTTAGGGTCTTGTCTGACCAACACCCCAGGGAGCAACTGTCCTGGTACAAGTGCAGGGAAGAGTTTTCTACATGCTGGTTCCCAGCATGCAGGGGGAGCCTTGTCCTTCAAGACAGCACATGTGGCCCTTCAGGCCCAGGCCACTCTAAGGTTGTTCCCTAGGTTTTGGGAACAGGAGCAGGTGTTTTTGCCCCCTTTGCTTTAGTGACAAAAAAACAAGATGAAATCTTAAGAGTTAAATAGTCTAATCAAAAATACATTCATAAAATTGCTGCTGGGGAATGTTAGCCATGCTGTGAAAACCCTTTTTCCTGGGACACAGGAGATAGCATTAGATCCTTTTCTTTATCAGTTTTGGATGGTTTAGACTTTATTTTAATTGGCTATTTATAGAGGAAATACGGCATCTCATTTTAACTTTTATTTCCTTAGCCATTAGTGAGATTGAAGTGGTTCATGTTGTATAAATGATGCTTCCCAATGCTTCTTTTGAACATTAGTTTTTCTTTTTGCCCATTTTCCTATTAGATGTGAGGGAATATTTTATAAAATTTTGAGAAATCTCTACATTGTCAATTCCTAGTACTTTATGGCTTCACCTAAAGTCTTGATTCCATCTGGAGTTTATTGGGTGTTCAGTGGAGTCAATTCTATTTTTTTCTGTGGAGTCTGCAGTGCAAGGGCCTGGCCCCTCAGGGAAAATAGCAGATGCATTAACTTGAGCTATCAGGGCTTTCAATTCAAGCTTTAAAGTTTTGCAAGCACAGGAAGTCATAGAATTAAATCAGGAACCAGAACTGATCAAATACACAAAAGAGTGAATATATTCCCTCAAGCCCAGACTTCACTGGAACCACAGGGTGATCATTGTTATCACCGGAAACTATATTTTCAATTATTTCAGCCTACAAAGGTCAGACTGAGGAAGGGAGTACAAGGTTCTAGGTCCTAAAGTGAGGAAATGCTTATTAAATAAACAATATTTCTTTTGCTCTTAATTTTGGTATTGGCTGTTTCATCTAAAAATTATTCAATTTCTAAGCTACAAAGTCATGAGCTAAATTAGACTGCACTAGGGGAAACTCAATTGGGGTGAACCACAAAGTGATTTCAGTTATGCAATACATTATAGACTTATGACCAGGGAACCCCAGGAAGTCAAAGAACTCTCCTGCTAATTGCAGAGGTAGAATATGTTTTATAAGTGAAATGTACCTAAATGTGCATTTGTGTTTATATATGTGCATGTATCATCAGGGACTTCAATGTGACACCTTCAATCTACCAAGGGAAAAACAGGGTCCAGGATTTTGGATTTCACAATCTTAATAAAATATATATGTACATATGATTTTGAATCATAAACATGTCCTATTTATCAAGGTTTAATGGATTTTGCAGGTCACAGAACACTACATTTACTAAAATTTTAAAACAATTCAATAAAAATCAATATAACTAGAAATTTCTATCTCCCCTTCCTTACCCCAGTGGACTACCTCAAACACTTGCATACCCCCATTTTGAAGTGCCCAAACTAGACAGCTTGGCTAACAGGCCCATGGTGCATGAGGAGCATAGGACTAGAAGGTAGTTTTCTAACTCGGGGGGGATTCGATGTTCCCTCAGTGTCCTGCTCCCTCCAGGGTCCACTCAAGTTAGAGCTGGGCCAGTCAGCTGGGTTGATAGTTTCCACGCTTGTGAACTCTACACTTTGAAATACCTCACAACCACATACAATCAAACCTTAGATTTAAGGCTAACATTAAAGTCACATTTCTGCTAGCCCAGAATTCCCAAATTGGCATTAAGATTATATCTGAGGGCTGGGGTTGTGGCTCAGTGGTAGGAGCTTACCTCGCAGGTGTGAGGCACTGGGTTTGATTCTCAGCACTGCAAATAAATGAATAAAGGTATTGTGTCCATCTATAACAACAAAAAGATTATATCTATGGGAAAGGGCCAGACTATTAGTTTCCTGTGAATCTTGGGTAACCCTGGCTTAGACGTGTGTGGGTTCCTGTGTTATGCCAGATTCGTGGGACCCCAATAGACCTCCAGGAGCCGAATCCGATGCAATCACACAAGAGTCTTTATTGCAAGTTCGAGCCTGAACTCACAACCGTTCCCAATGCAGCGGTCCCAGGGAGTGAGTCCCGGTCCTTTGTTCAGTGAGATTTTATAGGTTTTGGGGGGATACTCTATGCATCACAGCATCACACAGCAAATCATTCCATACCGAGGGAAAATCAAACAAAAACTCTTAATATTGATTAGCACATTCACTGTCGGGAACAAGTTGGGTAGGGGTGACTGGTTAGTACAATAGGGGGATTCATTTGAACTGATTGRTTTAGGCCATGAGGAGTGTACATGCTAAACTACATGGTTTCCCAACATGTTATCAACCATCATAAACTACTGGGGTGGGTCATCTGGTATTCCAGGTATTTTTCCTGTCTCATACTGATTGGAGGTTGCTAGGGGGTTGATATGGGTCCTCATCTAGCCTGAGTCAGGGACACCTAGCATCGTAGACCTCTCTTGTTATTTACAGACAAACAACTCAGCAGGGTGGGTATGTGCTTAGGAGTGCTCTGTGGGTTTTTCTAAGGACAAGGCTTTGCTCTGAGGTAGAGGCTGGTTTCTCAAAAATGGAGTCACATTAGTTTCTCACCTGGAGAGTACCTCCCACCATAAGGCAGGGGCCCATCTATAAGAATCCTGAAATATAGCACAAAGATATGTGTTTAGGCAAATGACTTTGTCCTCTTGTTCTTGAAATGAGAGAGAGAAAAAGAGAGAGAGCCTAAATGCAAATCTCCTTATGCTTGCAAATAACTTTACAATCCAATAAACTGAATTTCTGAAAAATATTTAGCTTGATGTGACCAGAATTCTCTGTAAGTAAATGATCTAAACCTGGAGATTCTGTACTCTTAAAGGAGCTGAGACAAAGGGAGATGCCACAGGTCTAAGTTCATGAACACCACTGTCTAGCCCTTGGTGAACAGGATCTGGCTCCAAGCCAGCTGCATGGAGCTTGGTCTTGTGGCTTAAGCCTTTCTCACGCAGGAGGACTTGCACTTTGTGCCCTTGGTGTGTGCGTGTTGACGACCACACAGGTCCACCCACTGAGCTCTCCTCTGCAGTGTGCACATTCTGATCACCTTAAGGGGCATCTTAACCTCAAGTGCTGCTGTTTGGTCTCAGGGCGTGGCATACTTGGATCTAGACTGACATGGTGCTGCACATGGCTGCTCTAGGTAGTGTGGGCTGAACTAGTCAGGACTCTACGCCTGCCATATAGCCCAACCAACTAGCGGCCTTGCAGAGGTTCATGTCCTGCAAGTGTCTAATGCGGCCTACTGGGGAGAACCTTTGAAGGCCTCATCTTCCCAAACTCCAGTCACCCAACTGAGAAGATTGCCTTTGCCAGCAGCAGGGCTTTGGGTTGCACAGGGCATCCACCAGACACGGACTCCACCCCTTCCTTCACGTGTTTGCAGGGGCCACAAGTGGAAGAGAGTGGAAGCAGCTGCTAGAGAACATGCCTCTGGGAGCCTCGAGCCTAGCCGCCTGCCCACCTCGATCTGTAGCCCTCCCACACAGCACAGTTAGTTCCAGAGAGGCAGGAAGTCACGCCTAAGGCCGCTGGATGTGCAGATGTGGCTTTCCTCACTAGCTGAAACCAAGTGTGAATTTGTGGCTCTGTGACTTGAAAGTGCCAGAGAAGAGCCCGTGGAGACCCTCCTGGCRTTGTTTCATAGCTACACAGAAGCAACTTCATAAGTAAGAGCTTCTACTTTCAGTAGCCTCACTCGCCACGACACACAATGGGGGAGGCAATGTACTCACAGGGGGAAGGTTTGTCCTGGCTCACAGTGACAGGAGGGGCAGTCCATGACTGCTTGGCTAGTCCGGCTGTGCTGAGGCAGCATGTCATGGTGGGATGCACAGTGCAGCCACCCCTCTCACCCCAGGATGAGGAAGCAGAAGAGGAAGACAAAGAGGAGGGCCTGGGACCCCTTTATCCTCTTCACACCAGTGATCCAAAGACCATCCACTAGAGCCTACATCCTGAAGGTCCCACCACCTCCCCAACGCCAGGTCCAAGCTGCAGCACCTCAGAAGGGATGCCACTGGATCCAGCCAGGTCATATGCCACCTGCCTAGCTTGAGGGAATGGGTATTATGAAGGCCACACCTAGACTGGGTTAGGATGCCTTTACAGGGTGGGGCCCTCGGTCTGGCTGCTCCTCATCCCCTAGGAGCTAGGGAAGGAGCAGGTCAGCAAGAGAAGAATCAACAGGCCTACAGGGGAAGGAGGAAGTGGAGCACACTCACCTGGGAAGAGATGCTCTCAGGCCAAGTGGCTTCCAGATGGCGTGGCAAGCAGAGCAGGATCAAAGCTTTGCAGTAGTGTGACCAGAGGAGGAAAGCCGACTCAGGGTCAGTGCGTCAGTGCTTCGCAGCAACGGCGCCAGCCCACACTGCCATGGTGATGCAGTTCCATCAGATGGTATCAGACACCATTGGAGATTAGGGCTATGTATTTGTTGTGTTGGCTCTTTTTTATTTAATTAATAAATATTTTAGTTTTTTTATTCTATACCAGGTTTTTGTTTTATATATTTTGCTAACATGGTAGCATTAAATTAACTAGCCCCCACTACACTTCTTTTATGAGGGATTCATACATCACTCAATTCTGAATTGCTAGCACGGATCTTTCATCTGAGATCCACTCTTTTCTTCTTCAGGAAACCACTAGAACTTTTTCCCTCTTGCTTCATGTGGTTTAGGGGTAGTTTCCAGACCAAGGCCTCCCAGAGTGGGTGTGGGTTCTTGGAAGGCCCGTGAGGATCCTGATTCCTCTCCTTAGTGAGCATGCCCACTGCAGGCAACAAGGACCACACTGACCCACTCTAGCCATGGGATATCTGTTGGCTCCAAGTGAAGGGTGGAGAATAAGGTGCAGCTCCTGGTTTAGGGTGCCACAACCCAAACACAGTGGTCAGTGTGTGGTCTAGTTACTAAAAACCAGAGAGGAGCACTTTGGCTGGATCTGCAGCTCAACCAATTACCTACCTGGATCTCAACTTTGTCTCCCTTTGCTTTGACTCCCTGATACTGACTGTGGTAGGTGGGGAGTGGGCCACCCAGGCCTTCATTCCACAAGGGTCTTGACTCCCCACTGCCAGCTTGCTTAGGATATGCCTCTCATCCAGCAGTCCTGAGGTCTGTGGCCTTTCTGAATGCCAACAGGAACCTGGGGTGGATAGATAAAAGCTAATATGCTCATTAGGCACCACAACTAAAGAGCTGCCCCCAGTAGCTCAGACAGAAGGTGCACAGACCGCCTTACCTGGCAATTTGGAAATTCTGCTAAATTGATTTTATGCAAGCACACACATTTAAAAACACAACAATAAACCTGTTTGTAATACTTCTGAATTTTAAAAACAGTAAGGCAATTTGTTGGGTGTTTACATCTTTTCCTTGCTCCTTCATTCACTGAATTAGCATTTGAAAGCACTCATTGAGTTGTGCCCTGTCCTCAAACTGGGCCTTTCCAACTGCAGCTGCATCAGTCACTGTCCTTTTCATCACCCCACTTTCTCAGACTGTGACTCTCTCCCAGCCTTCACACCATCTCTATGGAACAGGAGGATCTGAGTGTTGCTATGCCAGCTTTGGCTCCTGGACACCAGACCCCCAGGTCAGGACCGGCCCAAAGAGAACCTTCACCCTGGACTCCTAAGCCCCACTCTGCCACACAATTTCCTATCTTTGGGGAATTGTCTGTCCTTGGCTGCTATAATAAAATACTGACCTGCAATTTTACTTGGGGGAGGGGGGGGCGGGATCACTATAAGGAAATTAAAATACTATCTGTTTTGGCTCTCTGGTCATTCCAGACAGGAAACCTGTTGCTTTCACCTGAAGCTTCCTGCAAGAGGACAGACTCCGCCCTCTAAGGACTGTAATCTATAGCCCTTGGAAAATAACATTCCAGGGGAAGAGGTTGGGGGAAGCAGCAGACATTTGTGCAATTGTAATTCTTTTTTCCTAGAGTGTGGAAAAACTGGATGGAATTATATTTGGCTTTGTAAAAAGATCATGATCTTAGAAATATTGTTATTATGCTAGTACTCCCATGAAATTATGGAACCTGACCTCATTTCAACTAGAAAAATGCCAAACTAAATATACAACATTTGTTGCACAGATCAGAAATCCAGTTTCTGACTATCAGAAGATGGTGCAAAAGAACCAGGAACATAGAAAAACTACTCAGTTCTAAGTGGTGAAGTTCCTTGTGGGTGTCTGCAATTCTCTAGTTTTGCAAATAATGTTCACTTTTCATATTTAAATTTCCCAGAGTGGCTTTTCAGTATACTGAATACTTGTTTTTCTGCAAGTTCCAAAGAGTGCCAATTCAAATGATTTTTGCACTTACTGTCATTTAAATATGAAAACCCAATAGCACTGCTGTTTAGTGGGAAGTCTCTGGGATACTTGGGTCCCTGGATACATGGTAAATTTCTACAAAGTACTTAGGATTTCAGAGACACAGCCATGTAGAACAGACCTCACGTCACCACTCTTATTCAATCAAGCACCCGGAATTGTACTCATTAGTTGAATTAATAAAATTAAGAAAGATAAAAATTCGAAATGATCTCAACTCTTCCTGCTTAGTACAAATTCATTAAGTTAATGATTTGTAGGTAATGAGGTTTTAGAAGTCAATCAGATATCATCTGGAATCAAATATCATTACAAGTCTAAATTACAATTCAAAGATATAGCCCATGTTTTCATAAGGACACAAATGCTATTGGAAACAAAACATCCAAAAATAGGCCATCCAGTTTTCTTCAGGGAAAATTGGAAATCAAAAGAACAAAGCAAAAACATTCAGGAACAGTGTAATTTCAGAGTGAGGCTGGGGACATTTCTTCCAATGCTTCTAGTGAAAGACCCTAGCCCAGTTAGCCCAGTTACCTAAGGCCAAGATATGAAACCAAGATATCAGGCAGGCCATAAACAGGTTCAGGCACCAGGCATGCTTTCCGGACAACCGGTGGAAGAACAGAGCACCCGCATCCTGAGGCATGAATGAATAAACCGGAACAGATAAGCAGGAACAGAAAGAATAGAATGCAGACCTGTGGTTTTTG